AACTAACACAAGAGTGAAACAAGATATAAACAAGATAAATAAGATAGTGGGCAATATAAACAATGAGAAATTAACAAAGGTGATATAATGATAAACACAAAAATAAGTACGCCAATGCAATCACAAACAAACGATATGTTCACGAGGTTCGGTCCCCACGACCTACGTCCCCGCTCCTCACCTCGAGGAGATCTCCACTATCATAACCGGGTTTTCTACGCTCACCCGAATAACGTTTACACCTCACAATGTTGGTTTTTAACGCTCACCGATGGTTTTCTACGCTCACCCGAATAACGTTTACACCTCACAATGTTGGTTTTTAACGCTCACCGATCAACGTTCACAAACACTCACAATGTCGGTTTTCAATGTTCACCGATCAACGTCCACTCCACACACTCAGTTTTCTAGCTCACCGAAAACTTTATAACACTAACAATGTAACTACAATAAAATATTATATAACATGAATGAGAACTCAATTAAGCACAACTCAATTGTTACAATCTCTCAAAATCCTAATATACTATGTGTGTAAATACTAAAAGCTCAAGTAGGTGTGTGTAACAATAAGATTTATCAAATCTAAACTCAATGAAAAAACTAGCTTTAAAGAAAGATAATCAAAAAAAATATGCAAATGTAAAGCTAGATATGAGCTTAGAAATTCTTCTCTGAAAAACAAGATGGAGAGATAGATTATGATGAAGCTCAATCAATGTAGATGATAGAAATTCTTCTCTGAAAAACAAGATGGAGAGATAGATTATGATGAAGCTCAATCAATGTAGATGATCTCCTCCACTTGTGAAACAATCTTCATAAACCAAACAAACTTTAAACCAAACTTAAAACCTTGTTAAAAACTCTTTTAAACTTATTTTAAAAACATTTCATTGGTTGCTCTGGTAGAGAGGGGTTTGAGGGTTTATATAGGAAGAGAAACCAACAGCAAAAACCCCAAATCAAAAGACCAAACAGCCCACAGAATCAGAAATTAGATTCTATACAAATAGAGCCGTTGGGCGATCGGCGGTCGACCGTGGAAAAATCGCGGTCGACCGCGGGCAACAAAACAGCAGAACTACGGCTCAGGACAACACCCGGTCGACCGCGGAGATCGACCATGAAAACTTAACAGACGGTCGACCGCCACGGTCGATCGTGAAAGTTTTTGCTGGCTCCTGAGAGAAAAACATTGGCGCGGTCGACTGTGGCGGTCGACCGTGAACTGATACATGAACAGAACAGTTTGAAAGTTGATTTTCTGATTTTAAAACCCTATTTAAAAATATCAAATAAATTCTAAAAAATATAAAACTTTAGGGAATAATTGTAGACATGATAATAAACATGCTACAAAGCCTGGTTTTCAAAAAGGACCTTCCAAATAAAAAAATCATCATTTTGCAAAATAGTCCAAAACATAAAAATGTGAACATATGAGTTTTGACATTTTAGCTTAACCATGTTTTGAAACAATACAAAATGATTATGTAGACTTGAAGAAAGATGTAAACTATTGTTATGAAGTCTATAAATAATGAATATAGTATTTTATCAAAATACACATAATGCACTAAAACATAATTTCATTGAACTCTGAATAAAATTGATATTGATGAAATCATATATATGCATGTAAGTATGAAATAAAAATGTTTTCTAATTATATTTAATTATTTCATAGTAAAACTTAAAAACTATCAAACCAAAACATATATGTATATATATTACTATATATATACATGGAAACCAATAAATGTGTGTGTATATTATATTGAGCTTAAGGTACTAACATACATAATATAAACTCCTAAACTAAATTACCCAAGCTTGTGATCTTTAACGAAGCTCTATCTTGGTACACTCACGGATGAAGCTGTAATTGGATCTTTAACTTGAAATTGCAAGGCTTCAACCACTATTCCACCAACCTCCATTTGATATGATCGTTATGGCGCAATCCATCCAACCTCCAACATATTGTTTGCCTAGAATAAATATAAAACACAAACACTAGACAAACAACATTAGTAATAAATTATTTGTTAAACATCATCAAAACAAAGAGGCCAACAGGGTGCTTGTGTGTGGTAAAATGAGTATAAACGAAATCAAACTCAATTTACAAACTAGCAATAATGATATATGAAAATCAAAACAAATTGCTAGAGAATAGAGTTAGAGAAACTTATTTACAAACTAGCAATAATGATATATGAAAATCAAAACAAATTGCTAGAGAATAGAGTTAGAGAAACTTTTCTATTAAACACAATAGAGATTGGAGATGATTGAGGATGAATTCCCCAATTGAAAGATCAAGCCACCTCTTTATAAACATAAACTTAAGCACTTGAACAAACTTTAAAACTCTTTTTAAACTCTTGTTAAAACCCACTTCAAAGTTATGTTATGATGAGAAAGAAAGGGGTTTATATAGGAAGAGAAAACAGCAGCCAAAACCCTAAGAAAATCAGCAAAATCTCCCAAAAACCAAGAAACAGATTCTGTATAAAACTAGCCATTTGGCAGCCTGTCAGTCGACTGACGGGAAGCATCAGACGACTGATAAGCTGAACGTTGTATTCAAATTCGAGTTTATCAGTCGTCTAAAAAATATTTTCAGTCGACTGACAAAGTCAGTCGACTGGTCAGTCGACGGAAACACAATAGAGAGCAAAATGAACATTACAGGCGTTTTCTTCAGTCGACTGATCAGTCGACTGATCAGTCAACTGATAACAGGTTATCAGCCTGAAATGATTATTAAGTTGAGTTTCAAGGCTCTGTTAAAAAATAGCAAATAAATTCCAAAAAGTGTAAAACTTTGGGAAAAATTTATAAACATGAATATGAACATGTTGGAAAAGGAATTATTCAAATAGCTCTTACCATTTGTGAAAACACAGGAAAAATCAGCAATGCTAAAATACATGTATTTCAAACATGTTATTTTTGACATTTTTAGATCAAATCAGGTTTTGAAAACTTGTGTATACTTTTTATGGACTTAACAAATGATGTTAACATGGTTGATATAGTCCAAAACATATTTGAATGTAATTTGCATAAAAACACCTATTTTAATACAAATTCACAAATGAAGTGTGTGTGCAATCTTGAGCTTATGGAATCAACATACACAATATTATCCTATACTAAGTATACCCAAGTAATCTTGATCTTCATTGAAGCTTGACTTGGTAAACATGGAAGAAGCTTGAACTGTGATCTTGACTTGAATTATATTGCTTCACTCCACTATACCTCCATCCTCCATTGGATATGACCGTTGAAGCGCAATTCCATCCAACCTCCAACTCGTTGTTTGCCTATAATAAATACGAAAATCCAACCACTAGACAAACAACATTAGTTATAAATTGTTTGTTAAACATCATCAAAACAAGAAGGCCAACAGATGCTTCATGTAATAGCCTTCGAAGACTGATGAGCATTCTTTGGAATCTTGTTTTAATCTTGTCTAGCTGATAGCTGATAAGGAAATTATTATTGTGCAGCTAACCCTTAATTCTTGCAATTCTCCATATTTTCCTCGCTTAGATCTTATGTCTAACCATTTTGTGAACCCCCTTCTTAAGGTAATGAACTGAGTCCTATTTATAACAGACATAGCCTATCTGAATAAATAAGTAATGAGGAAATAGTTATGCCATGATTAGTTTAATTATTTATTTTAAGTAGATACTACATGTTATCTCTCTAAATACATTTATCTTGGATTTGATGCTTGTGTTTGAGACAATACTTGTATTTATCTTTGGAGATTGAAGATTTTTTATATCTAGTGGATTTGGAACTTTGGATAACTGATAATTCTTTCTTGTTTCCGCTTTGGTATTTTGTTGATGTTGTTGTAATGAGGCCTGCACTTTCATGTATATTTGTGTTAGTGTGGTTGTGGATGTATAACAAAACATGTTAGATGATATTTATAGAACACTTTGTATTTTAGGTTCTATGAATGTTCTGCCTAACAGATCAAACCCGTGAACGGGGCACATGATCATCAATTTATGACATGTCCATATGTATCCTCTTTTGGGGGTCTTTTAAACATAAATCTGGCTTGGTTGGTGATATAGAGTTTATTGAAGATGTATGGATGAAATGGAGATCGACTGTCATTCCTATTCACCTTAGAATTCAATGGATAGTATGCTGCTGTAGATTATTCTATGTGATATGGAATGAGAGAAATATGCACATCTTCCACCAAAATCTGTGGACATTCTCTTGCTATTTTGGGACAAATTAATCAGATTTCTCCATTTTGGTTAGGTTATTCTTCTCTCAGTGATCGTACAAAGAGGTTGTTGAATAGAAGGCCTCGAAGAAGATCTGATGCTGTTTCCGAGGGGCATGAAGACAGAACTGTTGCAAATGCTGTTGCAGAGAGGATATGCATGCTACTTCCGTTGCATAGAGGAACATGACCGTGTATCAAGCACTGAACGAGGCGGCAGTCAATAGGGCCATTATCTCTTAAGTGAATCTGATGATAGCTGCTATTGGAGTTGGATTTATAATGCTAAAGCTTTTAGTTGATTCTTATGTCTGCACTTTGCTTTGCTTTTATCTTTTGGCTGTAAGTATGTTTATTATTATTATTATTTTGTTAGGAGTATAGAATGTATATGTACAACCATTGGTAATGAACTCTTAAGAGTCTCATCCTTTTCTCTTAGGGCCTACGGTCAAATATTCAACAGAATAACAATTTGTTAGTGTTTTTTTTGCATTGCTTGTATTTTTTGGAAACCAAAAAAATATTTTTTTAATTTATAAAAAGGGTTAAAGAGTACAAAATTCTCGGAGAAAGTGGTTAATTTTTTTTCGATTTGAAGAAAAGGAGATAAGCTAGTAAAAACTATTTGACTATAGGCTCACAAAATAACCAGATTAAAACCATAAACATAGTTTAAAGGGCAAAATACATAAATTGATAATTTAGGGGGGCAGCTTAGGAGTTCACCAATGGGAAAATGATCATTTTGTCCTTGTTTTATATGCGAACAAAGAGCAACCAATGCCACAAGCAACAATACTCAGTTATGCTTTTCAACTACTATCACTGGTAGACAAAATATAGCACAAATAATCACACTCCAAAATCTAAGTACAAAACTACCAGTGCTCAGTCCTGCACTATTAAGCATGAAACAAACTACCTGGAACTGCGCACATGCCTCCCTGTGCGTTAGCCTGATCCACCAAAGCAAAAAATAGGACGAGTAGCTATATCAATTGCGGGGGGTAAAATAAGTAGTAGAAAGAAGAGGATCATGACTGATGACCTTCAGACGGTTTACTATTGGATCCTGTCCCTAAAGGTATCCCCTTGTGATCTGCTCTTGTAGTTCCGGAAAACTCCATGCATCATCTGCTGAATATTCCCCTGAAAGAGAAAGCAGATACATCAATGTAAGATCCTAACTTGTTCCCCTGAAAGAGAAAGCAGATACATCAACATAAGATCCTAACTTGTCACAAATTTAAGTGATGTTCCCCGGGGAGAATGAATTCTTATTGATTTGACTTAATAGCGAATCATATTTGATTGCCATTGTTCCCTTCATTATCTACTAATGAACTAGTTCTACACAAAGCTAACTTTTTCAAGGACATCTACTGAGAAGGGGAAAAAATGTAAAATTAAGGACCCTTGTTCCCAAAATCCACCATCGATCTCTGATAAAGGTAGAACATATGACCATATTGTAATTTTAAACAAGTATACACTAGCTATGGCAGATAAACACATCATAGGTGCAATTAGAAGATTGATAATGTCTGGTTGAACAATAGCAAGCCTTGTTATCATAATATTATAATACTATGTATGATAATAATGAAAGTATGAAACACAAACATGATAAAAGTTTGACCTTTTGTAAGTAACTTTTAAGAAGATAATGTACAAACTCTCAACCAAAAAAAACCGGGATCAAACCAAAGTTGAAAATCAATAAATAATTCTTTTTGTAGCTTTTTGAAGAAATTAATGGAAAATGATAACAAGGTAGGACTATTATCTTTGTGATCATAATAATAAAACATGGACATGAGTAAGGTGTGAACAATAGCTAGTTTTTGATGTGATAACGTTAATAAGAGTGCAGGCTACATACAGCCAATAAAACTAATCAATATCAAAGTCCAAACACAGCCCAAAATCATTGCCCAAATATAATTATCTTCTATGGAGAAAATGCATGAAAATAATAATGAGTACAGAGAGAAGTTGACAGTCTGTTAGAATAACACACACAAACATACACGGAGAAGTAAGCATCTACAGACAAATTGGTGAATTTTTAACAAGGAAAAGACAGTACTTTTAGAGAGGAGTAACTTGATAAAGAGAACCTCCTGTTTATTTTACGACCAAGATTAATAATGCCCTACAACTAATTATATCATTAAATTTCGGGAGATTCTTAAACTGCATGGCCAAAGAAATAACAAGCTTAAATTACATGGTCAAAAGAAATAACAAGCTTAAGCTACATAGCCAAAGAAATATTTTTACTGACCAGCCATCTAGTTATGAAGATTGTATGGCATCATCGGCTCAACACTTTCTTTTTCTTTTTTTTTTAAGTGGAGTTTCCATCAACTTTCGATATGTTCCGTACTAAGCAACAGGTTAGCATAATAAGTAATAAATCGATGACATGCAAGTCTACATGACGATGATTAAAATAAAGAAATACTTAATCTAAGAACATGATGGTAAACAAAAATTGTACAAATTATATTTGCTTCCTTGATTCAAAGATCAAAATAACCTTATCACTAACCTCATAAAAATTCAAAAGAGACCCAAAGATCAACATTTAAATAGAACCTACCTTAGAGAAACTGCTGACGACAGCATTAACTGAATCATCTCATGAGTTATAACCTTAAACGACAATCTATTACATACTACTGAAACAACCACCACGGTATCCGCTTGGCAACTTCTTAGAACTTTGGATGCCTAAAGTTATTATTTCACTAATTTTATAAATAAATAAGAAATAATATGAGGTACTATGAAAAGTCATTCCTACTACATAATATAAAAAGGCTTCCGAGAAAATGTAATAGCTGTTCCATCTCTCAAGAATCAAGATGATCTGTATTTAATAGCAAATCAGGTACTTCATTCTCTTTTAGAGGCCATAGGGTCTTCCAGCATTTGACGATTGTAAGCTTCTATCACTGTCTTCCAGTATTTGATGATTGTATGTTTCTATCATTCAGGTACTTCATTTCACTTGAATATTTTCTGATGATAAATTTATGTTAATTCATTGTCTTCAATAATTTAATGGTGCAGGAGTTCAAAGTACTTTGCCAACTGAGCCATTATTTGGAATTTTGGAGGTTTGTTATGTGAAGGAGTTGCTCATAACGCATGTATGGTGCTTAGTACAATCGCATGCAAGTATCTTTGTTCATTTTTCCTATGAACTCGAGAACTCTTTTTTTATAAAAACATGGTACGTCTAAAAGACTATCAATTTCTTTAATATTATTTTTAAGTTTCAGACACAATGATAAAGGTACAACAGAAATGGTACAAGCAGAAGGTTAGACGATGTTTAACTTACCCATAATGAACAGTTATACAATAGTACAATTCAAATAAACTATCAAAGACAACACATCAGCAACAATGGATCCTAAATTTAAAAGCTTTTCTATGACCAGTTGAAGATATATAGCTTTACTCGCAAAAACAAAATGTAAATTATCTAGTACTGATAAGCACGATTTGCAATACATATTTGTAAAAGGAAACTTAAATACGAAGCTTACCAATTGAGTCTCTCCGCAATGCTGTCAAATGAGCACAACTGCAAACATAAAGTGAAAATAAAATAAAAAAACAAGCCTATTATCTTTACATTACTTCTGCAACATCATGCAAAGGCCATGTGTTTCAATGTTAGAAAAGTAACTTCGCAATACTACCTCTTGAGTTATGCTAATGAATAAGAAGTAAGATCACTCTTTCTAAATTATAAAAAATCCTTCTGTTAAATGTTGGTTTCTGGTTTTTGATCTTTAACATATCGGTTTTACAGTTATAGGTCCCTCCATTCCTCTTTATTTTTACATAAATCCCCAAAAGATGAATTTCTTTAAAAAAATTCATCAAATCCTTTTAAGGTATAATCAGTTCATGTACTTTCCATCTCAATTTAACTCTGGTGCAATTAATGCCATCCTACTAGACTTGGAAAGAATGATTTTTTTTTCTCTCACATACTTTCCTTCCCCATCCTACTTTCATTTTTGTTTCGAGGATCCACAGCAATGATGTAACGAAGGCATCTATTTGTTGAACCTTCATTTGGTGATGTGAAATATGGAAAGAAGATCTTAAAGACAGAGTGTAGAACAATGGTGGAGCCAGGGGGTCAGGAGGACCCCTCATGATCCAAAAATGAGATCTACAATTAAGCTGGCCAATTGGAACTCATCAGAAAATTTGCATTTTATGTGCAACAAGGGTGAAGATATGGTAAAAAAGATATGCACAAATGGTAAGCTAACTAAATTGTTTCAGTTTCCAGCACTAACTTTTGACGACTGTTATTCCAGTAGTGATAATTATTCATGAGTTGTGCTACTACACAAAAAAAAAAGTGAGATAAATTGTAAAGAGAAATAATGACATGGACCTCACTATTTTGAGTTTGGTAGCGCAGGAGTAATACATTATAGCATACTTGGCATTTTCCTAATTCAAGAAACTATATTAGGCAATAAACCAATGTCGAGGTTTCCAATTATTGAGCCATAATATATTTCCTCATTGGCAATTGATTATACTTTCTCTATATAAGGGCTTATTGACATTATAAATAACCAAACAAAATTACAAGAATGCATCATATCAATCAAACTTAAAGATTGATATAGTTAAAGACAAGAAATCAAACAATCAAAAAATGAAGGAGATATTTTCATTCAAGTTCAGTTAACAAAATTTCATTTTACCGTTGTAACTGCTCTTTTCTTTTTTGTTTTTTCTTGTAAACAATCATTTTATATATACTATTATGTCGGGGTTTTCAGGTTTGAGACTATCACTTCTCTCAAAAAAGTTCTTGATCTTATTGAGCAGGATTATTGATATAGTATGTGTATTATCTTTTTATAAGAGAATAAATAAGAGTGTCCATCAAGCTCCAATTCCTGGCTATGTCACCAGCATAGAATACCATACAGTTGACAAAGGCGCACACAAACAAGGTCTCGATCTCTCCATCAAATTCGAAAATGATCAATTTTCCATCTTTTTTAAATGTTAGTGTCTCTGCAATTTATGTTTTCTATTTGTTAGAATATAAAATTATGACCCTTAACCATCACCAAAACTTTAAAATGGTATTAGAGTAATCCAGATTCAAATTCTACAAGCTACGAACTTAAAGCGGATTTTTAAAAATAATGATACCGCTGCGTGAGTCTAGGTTTTAGCCAATAAAATGGAGCTCTACCTGTGGGGGCATGATGGAACATAAAATTATGATCATTAACGCTCACCACAACTTTGGATTTTGGCATAGTGATGGGGACTTTTGACAACGTTTTTAATTCTTCATGTTGTTCAATGAGTTGTTTGATCTCAATCCGATCCAGATTCCATGGTTTTTTATTATGGGATTTACTTTTTCTTAGATCTGCTTTGAAACCCTAATACATTTTGTGGATTGGGAAGATGGATTCCTTGATTATGGGTGATTTATTTGGCGGTCGAATTTGTTGAAAATGCAGTTCTAACTTGAAAGTTATATTTTGATGGCAGTTATTATTATTCAGGACAAGAGCAAGGCTGTGAAATGGGGAGGGTACTTAGTTTAACTATTTGTTCAATCCCAGGAAGTTAATGCATGGGGGTATTATTATTCTGTGCAAACTTTTTTTGTGCACTCATGGAGATATTTTGGCACTGATGTTGCGTACTACCGCGTGCACTATTTGATGCATTGATTTTGGGCGATGTTCTCTGGCTTAGTGTTGTACAGGGGAGTATTATTTACACTGTTCTTTGTGCAATGAGTCAGATTGTGTGCACTATTTATGCATTGACATTCTTTAGATGAATTTTCTTGTCCACTGTTTGCTGTCAATTTTATGCATTGACATCAATGAAACTTGAAATCACTGCAAATTCAATAGGAAACAAGAAACTTCAAGAAACACTACATAACCTAGTGATGGGTAAGGAAAAAAGAGACGAGAATGAGAGATTTAGATTGTGATTTCATGGGTAAGGAGAGATAGTTGTTGCCGGGTTTAGGATGTAATATTTGAAGAAGATGAGGTCATATCGGGAATGATTTAACGGTGTTAAGTCTATTTGAGGATGAAATAACAAATTTAAACCAAAAAGCGCAAATTCTTATACATTAAAGTATTCACAGATATTAAAAAAAAACAATCCATCTTTTGGGGGGATTCATTTTAAGATAAAGAAGAATTGGGTTTTTTTTTTCTTTTTTTTTGATATAGCTGCCAGTATATGCTATTAGTCACATCAAATAAGGAACTTCACTTTATTTAAGAACTTCAAGCTTAAACCAAGCTCCATAAAATTAAAATATTTATATACTATACGTACTTTCAGAGACAAAAATACCGAGTATGATGATGGCATGAGATAATAATACCAAGACTGATTTATTGAAATCAAAATACCTTCCAAGAGCCTTTCCCAAGTCTGCACAAAGAGATCTGACATATGTACCTTTTGAACACGTAACTCGAAAAATCAAATTCTGTCTGCAATTCATCCAAAAGTTAACAATATACAGGTTATGAAGTGCAAGCACATACCACCAAAAAAAAGAAAAAGGGAAAAAAAAGAACGAATTCCACCAGCAACAGCTTTTAAGAGCAGGTATGGTAAAATGAACCCTAATAAGCCCACATCAAGTTTCTGATGACTAAGACAAGAGACGGCCATTATTACTTTATGCAAGGCATGTTATTGCAATGAAATTTTTCCTTACACCAACTTTGGTCACCATGATGGTTAATAAAGACATTTTGACTCAAAGCTAGCTCATGCTATTCATAATGATATGTGAGACTATAGACGGCCCATAAATTATTTTAGGTTAGTCATGATGTTCCCTTTAAAATTATTATACAGGAACCTGGTATTTTTTTTTTCTTGACGTGGGTATCCCCTCAATTTTGATAAATATTCAGGTATTACTGGAAGGCCAAACTGGTGAGCCTATGCACTGAAAGTTCTGATTACTGATCATATGCCTGGGAACTATAATCACAGAATGGTTTTAGGACAGGCTTATTTAATGGTAGAAAGTAAATAAAGAAAGCCTTCTACCTCCAAAAGTAACCATAATAGACTTGAGGCTAATCTCCTTTCCCATTTCTCTCGTCATGTATAATTTTTCAGTCTACCTTTAGAGAGAGAAATAAAAGATTGAGCTGTGTAAAGAACATTTGATTTGTAAAACGGTGTATTTTCCATAAGACAACTTTTTACTGGTTAATCTTTCTTCGAATACTCATTATAGATGTCTTAACTAGAGTTAGAATATCAATATATCATCATACTGAAAAACCATTAAGAATACAATCTTCATGCAGGAAATGAAGACAACAAACCTGTCATCTAGGCTACGTTCAATATCAAATTGATAGATTGATATGCGTCGTGGTGACAGCTCAACTGTTTCTCCTCTTCTTGCTTTATCGTACATTTTTTCCCCATTTACCTAATTGTAAATCAACATTTGATAGGAATCACTTGATAAATCATGTGCCAAAGACATTAGAAGGATGGGTAAAAGCAATACCGTAAGATACAGACATGAAACTAAAGAAAAGAAATAAAGATGCATAATGATTAATGAATTTTCTAAGTTATCCAAACTAACCTCCAATTTATTCAAAATTGGCTTTTGTAATCAATTTGGTTAACATACTTGATGTTCGTGGAGCGGTTCCTCTTGACGCGGATCCACTCGCTTGCTCCTGTTTTGGAGGGGAGGTTGATTGCTTGCCTTTGCTCTTGTCGCTGCCTTGACTTCAAGTCCTCTGCATAGCGCACTCCATCTTTTGACTCCCTGGCCTTGGCGAGTTGTTGAGCGAGGCGTTGGCGACGTCTTTGGATCGCCCTTTTTGATAAAGCTGGAGCAGCATCACCCATTGCCTTTGGGGCAGTTGTGAGGGCCGGGCCTACAGCCTTAACCACGCTGAACGACGCGGAGCCGTTGCGTGGTACGGGCGTAGTGGCAGCGGGGTCTTGGATTGAGGAGTTGGAGATCCCGCGAGCCCTTTTGGGAGATGAGTTCCTACGCCTGCAGCTTGGAGAGGCGGATCTGGAGGAGGAGGAGGAGAGGTACTCTTCGAACTTCTTCTGATCGAACTCATACTCGATCTCTTCATTCACCCGGATCTTGAAGGCCGGTTGCGTCACGACGATCTCGGGGGCGAGATCGTTGGCTCCCACTGTGGTCGCCAGCTTGTTTTCGGTAAAAGTTGCTGTTTTCATTGATATTCTCTCTTTGAGATCTGTTACAACTTCAAGCGTTACAACAGGATAAAATGAAAACAAAATGATATTACAACTTAAACGAAAATAAACACGAGGTCCCGGTTTGGTGCGGTCTCGCTTGCGTGGGTTGTTGGCCTGTGACGGGGATGTTGATATCCGTGGACCGCCGACTCTTCAAGATCTCTTTTCCGGTATAATCCGGCAGAGTTTCGTCTATCCGCTAAGGGATATAGAAACAGAACTTCGTCGATCCGCGTGAGATCTAGAAGTTATGAGCGTATATCTCGGCTAAAACGAGATAATAGCTCCTCTTAGTAACCACCGCTAATGGGCAGCACTAAGGAAAGAGAGGGGTGAATGAAGGGGACTGATGAAGAACTCCTTACTCCTCGTTTCGGCAGGGCTTCGCCGCTTGGAAATCAGACTCCACTCCTTACTCCGGCAGGGCTTCGCCGCTTCGGAAGAAGGCAATCCTTGGCTAAGATAATTCAGCCTTGAATTGGGAGCCTTAGCCTTCAACTCCAAAGAAATCAGCCCTTAGCACAAGAGGCCTAGGGGGGTATTTATAGCAAATGAGGGGAGGGGACCATAGGGTGGCCGAGACACCCCTAGGGGTGTCTCGGCCACCCAAGGGGTGTCCCCCCCCCTCTCTTGTTTTCCTATAAATAGCCCCCTTGGGCCTTTGTGCTAAGGGCTGATTTCTTTGGAGTTGAAGGCTAAGGCTCCCAATTCAAGGCTGAATTATCTTAGCCAAGGATTGCCTTCTTCCGAAGCGGCGAAGCCCTGCCGGAGTAAGGAGTGGAGTCTGATTTCCAAGCGGCGAAGCCCTGCCGAAACGAGGAGTAAGGAGTTCTTCATCAGTCCCCTTCATTCACCCCTCTCTTTCCTTAGTGCTGCCCATTAGCGGTGGTTACTAAGAGGAGCTATTATCTCGTTTTAGCAGAGATATACGCTCATAACTTCTAGATCTCACGCGGATCGACGAAGTTCTGTTTCTATATCCCTTAGTGGATAGACGAAACTCTGCCGGATTATACCGGAAAAGAGATCTTGAAGAGTCGGCGGTCCACGGATATCAACATCCCCGTCACAGGCAAAAGACCCACGCAAGCAAGAGATGACAAACAGATCTTGCGTTTGTTTGAAAAGAGTTGTATCTATTTTGTTTTCATTGTGTACCGGTCTTATAAAAAGGCTATCTTTTTATTTCATTGTAACGATTGAAGTTGTAATGAATGCAGCAATGAATACAGCAACTTTTTCCGCAAACAAGCTGGCGACCACAGTGGGAGCCAACGGCATCGCAACCGACGCCGTCGTGACGCAACCAGCACTCAAGATCGGGGTGAATGAAGAACACGAGCTCGATCAACAACGGTTCAAAGAAGGCCTCTCTTCCTCCTCCTCCAGATCCGCCTCTCCAAACGGGTACAGAAAGGTAACCTCTTTCATAAATGATTGCAGGTCCTTCGGTTCAAAAATCCAAGACCCCGTTGCCGCCTCTGCACTTGCACCACGCGACGTCCCCACGTCGTCCAACCTGGTCGAGATCGCAGATCCGGATTCCTCTTCCGCCGAGGAGATGACTTCTGAAGACGCTCCGGCATTATCAAAGAGAGCACGACAAAGACAACGTCAACGTCTTGCTCGACAACTTGCCGAGGCTTTGGAGCCAATGGATGGGATCCGCTATAACGTAGATCTAAAATCCAGGCAACGCCAGGAGCAACCACGGCAAACAACCAGCCCCTCCTCCGAAGCAGAAACAAACAAATGGGTTCATGTCAAAAGAACCCGTTCTACTATTGAGGAGCGAATCCAGAAGCGCTGCGCCTTGCGTGCGCATGCCCGAGCCCTGGTCCAAAAAGCACGAGAAATGCTAAAGGGAGAGGCCGTTAAGAGATCACCAAGGCCCGAACGAGTTTGGATGCCAAAGGCCGAATCAACGCCTAAGGTAAAAGCAGGTGCAGATGACAATGATCGACTCTTAAAGCTGATGATGTTGACCAGACCCAAAGATGAAGATAATGACATTGAGAACATCCACAAGCCTTGGATGACAATGACAATGACATTTAGTACAATTATTATTATTAGTAATTATTTTTCCATGATATTGTTATGGATGTTACGGATTAGTTGTATGTTATATGCTTGATAAAACTTATTTCAGAAGTTTATGTCATTATTTGTGAGTTGTATTATACCTTATACACAACAACTTTTTGAACTTTGTGACTATATATTAAATGCTCTAATTTAAATGTTGGTTTTAATGATGAAACAATTGTATAATGGTAGTCCATTTGTATCCAAGGTAGAAAGATTCCTATTCAAAAGTTCCATTTAGGTAGAAAGATTTCTATCCCAAAAGGTCCATTGGTCATGGACTCATGGTAATAATGAGAGAGAGAGAGGGGGAGAGAGAGAGAGAGGATGATGGAACACCTCTCTGCAAGCATCCGAGACGACTATGAAATACTGGAAATGGGGAATGTTTATAGAAATGCAAATACACAATGACAGCTGCAAGAACTCAAAGAGTCCAGGCCCACCTCTTACTTGGTTATAACTCCCTGATTTTGCTAAACATTGTTAATAGGTCCAAACTATGATAGAGGGATGTACATACTTGAATTAAAATTTTCACTTAGACCCCTAGAGTTCCAAGAATTCAAAATTAGGTCCAAATAGAGTGATTTTTTAATTTTAAAAAAAAAAAGTCATAGCTTACATCTCCAAACTTCCATAAAAAAAACTTTTTATAGGTTGAAAAATGATTTTAAAAGAGTTATATAAATACTAATAGGTTTATAAAAAATTAATAAATATATGTGAGCCTGGTTATGGGTCACAATGACCTTTAACTTTATGACTAAGAATTAAGAGTTATAGACCTATATTATGAGTTAAAAATTAGTATTAACTTTGTAATTTTATACTATAAGACCATATCAAAGGGACTTGATTGAACCCTCAAGTCAATTAAGAGATGAGTACATTTCCTATGGATCAAATTATCTCTGGGACCACGACCTGCATGATACCCAAGTATTTTAATATTACTGCAGTTATTGCCTGCATGGAAGCATTGTGGGAACTAAAACAGAAACAAAGAGGCAGTAACACTGCAGGAAGTACTAAAGTTATCCACAGAAAGAGCACGTCCGAAGTCTGGTGAAGTGGGAACATAAGTAAAGCCAGAAGATATTCTATACCATCTTCTCGTTTGTTAGAAAGATTCAAATAGGAAACCAATAGAAAAAATAACTATTCTGGCACCAGAAGAAACTGTAGCAAACACAGTGCTCACTTTGGGAAATAGGACCTGGTGTTAAATGAGAGAAGCAATGAATAATCATGGGGTTAATAAAGAAGCGAAGAATAATCAGATCAAGGTTATCGATAGCGGATAGCGTCGTATAGCGGGGAGGCGTCGCTAAGACTATTTGGCACTATTGCGGCAAAATAGCAGTAAAAAGCGCAAAGTCAAATAACGATCTAATTTAGATATGTATAAATATTAAAAAATAAAAAAATTAAAGAAAATTCTAGAAAATCTGAAAGTGCATTTGATGATTTAAAGAGATCCTAAACTTGCAATAGATAAGTAACCGTCACATAACACCGAAGATGACTGGAGGAGTCAAAGAGTCGTCGTCTTCGAGAAAATGAGTTAAGCGGTGAGAGGACTACACTAGGAGGAGATCACCGCAAGAGGAGGTGAGAGGAAGTACTGAGGGAGGTGCCAGAGGCTATGGGAGGCGGCGGGAGTACGCGGGAAATTAGGGGAGGCGGTGGGTGTAGTGGTTGTGGGTCGGGTTTAATTTTAAAAAAATAAACCTCAAATCGCTTTTAAATAGCGGTCAAAAAGCAGATTTTGCCTGCAATCGCCCGCTATTCACTGCTATGACACTATTGGCCGTTTTTACAAGCGAAAAGCGTATATTCTGCAATATGTCACTGCTATTGGGCGATAGTGTAGTGCAGCGGGAAGGGACCGCTAACGTTATTCGCACCGCTATTGCGGTACTATTTACCGCTATTTATAACAGTGAATCAGATGTACTGTTTTTTATTCTCCTTCATTTTTTATGTTCGATATTTGAAGTATGGATATGAAGTAATAAGTACTATCAGCTCGTTTCCCTGACGAGCAAGGACGCAACTTGTTGGTCTAATAAAATGTTCTAAAAGCAAATATGAACTGACAAACTCTTCATGTCTAATCATAGTTTGATAGCTCTACATAGGTAATAGGAGTGACATTTGATGGCTTAAAATTTTTTCCAAATAAATAGGCAGAAAGCCATGTTTAGACTGCCTTATCCCAGCTATTATCTTCCCCGTCGTGATTAGATGCCCTTAGGTACGACTATCACTTAAAAGAGGTACAAGTATTCTAAAGCGTCTTTAGAATATTAGTCCCTTAAATCTTCAATAATTCCATCTTAGTCTCCCAAATCTTTGAAAATTTCTTATTAGTCTCTCATACTCATGGGCTCTTGCAAATTGGTCCCTCTTGTTAACTCACAATAGATTTTAGGGGGAACAATCCCTCAAATCTAACAGTTTGAGGGAAAATTTCCATTTTACCCATGTTAAGTTCCCCAACCCATTTCTTGACAGATTCAAACCAAATTCCAGATTAATAAACCCAAACCCAGTGAGATCATCTTCTCCAACATCAGCCCTAACTCATTCATGAGCTTCCCGATGGTCATATCCACTCAAATAATCCTCTACTGAGGAGCATTTTGGTAAATGAGGGTATTAGGTTAGGATTTAACCAAACATGTTTGAAATTTTAACTCAAAACTAACAGAGAGACCAATTTGCAAGTCCATGTAGGATTTGAGAAACAAATAAGCAATTTCAAAGATTCCAGTGACTAATACGGGATTATTGATAAAATGTGATGGACTAATATCTAAAAACCACTATTCTAAAACAACTTTACTTTTCATAGCAGTTCGACATGTGTTCTTCAACAATTTTCATAGTATAAAGTAACATTGAAATACATGAGTATTTGCTATAAGAAAATTATTATGCAGACCTATTATAACAGTCAAATTAATCAATAAATTTTCAATAGCTAAATCACTTTTCAAGTTTATTAAATGAGAAAACAACATGAAGATAGTAACTAAATTATTATGCTTTCCCCAGATTAGGGGCACTTACTTTTATGGCTGAAAACATTGGAGGCACTTGCCATATCTCTCCAATGAATGATGTAGCTACTCTTTTTATGTCATCATCCTTTATATGCTCCCATGGTTCTCGTTGGATGACCTGATCATTTATGATTATATTATTCTTTTAACATGAAAATCAGTGTACATAGCCTGTAATGTAAATTTTGTGAAGTAAAAAAAGAAAGACACCAATGCTTACCATAGAAAGCAAGTAAATTTCAATGGGTATACAACATATCAAAAACATGATAAGTAAAAGCTAAGAATGAATGGGTATAACTTAACAGCATAAGCTAAATTGTGTACAATATTGACAACCACCAGTACTAGGAAAATAGGAATAAGAAACAAACTATATAGCTATTCAAATATGTTATATACTCTTCCCAACATACATTATCTATCAGGCGTCTTTTCAAATAAGTAGGCTACTTGTTACAAACTGTTAGAAGAGAGTATTAGTTTAGCATTGGTTTAGTCTTACATTGCCTATGAGACTAACTTGTAACTAATCCATCTCTATAAATAATAAAGTATAGAGTGAGGAGAGATATCTCCAAGAAACTCTTTTATCTCTAAACGTCAACATGGTATCAGAGCCTATCCCTAACACTAACCCTAATACTAATCCAAGTTCCTAAACCTAACCCTAACCCTAGGTCAGTGGCCTATCTCCAAAATCCTAGCCGCCAAAACCCTACAGCCACCTCTCTCCGAAACTCTAACCCTAATTACTACGTCTTCACATCCACAGCACATGTCGCCAAGTTCATCTGTCGTCCTCGTTCTCGTCCTCGCCATTGTCATCATCATCATCTTCCTAGTCATCGTCATCGCCATCATCGTCCTCGTCATTGTCCTCGTCATCGTCCACCTCATCCATGTCCTCGCCCTCGAGCTCATTCGTCATCCGATCTAGATTCGCAACCCGACGCCGCTCGCCATTGATGACCGCCGACACCATGAGGCCCTCGCTCACCGCCACCATGCCAGCCGCTCGCCGTTCTCTTTTTGCTTTTGTATCTGAGTCAGATCTGTGAGTTGCCTAATAAAGTAAAAAAAACTTTGGGGTTCCATCTTAACCTTCGGGTTCTTGATCTTTAACTTTCGGGTTCCATGTTAACTTTCGGGTTCTCGCACTTTAACCTTCGGGTTCAAATTTAAACCTTTAGGTTCTTGGATTTGTTCAGCCCACTGGCTAATTCAAGAATTATTTTCTTGAACTTGGACATACTTTGATTGTATCCATTTTGGAGTACAACTTAGGAGGGTATTGTCTTGAACTCTCCTCGTCTGTTTAATGATGGCCGGATCTGAGGAACTCAAGAATTCTGAGTTAACAGTCCAGACGAAAGTTTCGGAGACATTTTTTAGTAGAATCACTGACCGGAAGCTTGATGGAATTAACTATCTCCAGTGAAAACATGTTATTAAAATCTACATGACGGGTCGAGGCAAAACTGGTCATTTGTTGACAGACCTTCCTACTCCGACACCAGAATCTTGGACATTGGATGATAGTGTCCTCTTGCATCAAATTCTTAATACTATGGAGCCTAAAATTTAGGATTTAGTTCTTCATTGTATGATAGTGAAGAAACTTTGGTGATTTTTGCAAGATCTCTATGGGAGTAGCAGCAATATTAATCGGACATATGAAGTAAATCAAGAGTTGTTTCGTAAGAAACAGGATAGTAAACCATGGATGATCATTATGATGAGTTCAATCGTCTGGCTGAGGAACTTCGTCAGATTTTTCCTATTACTGGGATGTAAAACAAATGCAGAACTAATGTAATAAACTTGGTACTCACCTATTTAGGTACCATCGATTCCATTTACTCCTCTGCTCGACCACAAATCATGGAGAGCTCCGCCATTAGTTCTCTGACTAAGACTTGTCACTTTCTGAAGAATGTTGTCCCTGCATAGCCACTTACATTCACTACGGATCGCTCTGTGCTTGCCACTCAGAGTTGGCAGTCTTATGGACGAAGTGGTCATAATGATAGTCCTAGAAGAGGTAGAGAAATTTTTGAAGGGAGGGGAGGTTACAACACTGGTCGTTCTGGGGGCGAAGGTAGTTAACGAGGTGGTCGTGGAGGTCCATCTCAAGGCGGACATGCTCATGGAGATAACTCAGTGAAGACTTGTAACTACTGCTACCAACCAGGACACCTCAAATATAATTGTCCTAAATTGGAAAAGAAGAAAACCAAGGGTACTTACATGACCACTCAGGACAACTTCACCTCATCTGATAGTGAAAGCTAATCATAGTCACTCTTTCATGATGCGGAGCTGCAGCGTTAATTTCAGCAATTTTAATTATTCCAGCAATACCAAAGTTCACAAACATCGTCTTCCTCTTAGTCTCAAAAGTGTAGGTACCCCTTTATCTTTACTTATATCATTTTCGTCTAATACTTGGATTATAGATACAAATGTCACTGATCATATGACTGGGAATCAATGTATCTTATCATCTTTCTCCCCTACATCTAATTTAGTTATATTAGCTGATGGTTCACGTATACATGTTCAGGGTGTCGGCAATAACAATCCTACTCCTAGTCTTCCTCTTTCATCTGTATTCTATCTTCTTAATTTTTCCTATAACCTTTTATCTGTTAGTAAGATTACTAAATCTCTAAACTGTACAGTGACATTCTTCCCCACACATTGTGTCTTTCTGGACCTGGTCACAAGAAAAACGATTGGGACGAGACATGAGCAAAAAGGTCTTTATAAACTGGAATTGGACGCCAAACATTTAGCTTGTATCAGAAACTTATCAGCCCTATAATACCACTATCAGCTAGGACATCTCTCTCTCTCTGTTCTCAAGCTTCTTAATCCCCAGTTCAAATCTCTTTCCTCATTAGAGTGTGAGTCGTGTCAACTTGGAAAACACCATCATGTGTCTTATCTTAATCGCGTCAATAAGAGGGTTGCTAAGCTATTTAATCTTGTTCATTCTGATGTATGCGGGCAATGTCCAATAACTTCTAAATTTGGATTCCGATACTTTGTCAGTTTTGTGGATGATCACTCTCGTGTTACTTGGATTTATCTTCTCAAGTCTAGGTCTGAAGTCTTTTCTATAATTAAACTCTTTTATTCTAAAATAGTCAATCAATTCAATACTTCGATAAAAAATTTCCGATTTGATAATGCAAAGGATTATTTGGATGGCAACTTCACTAGTTTCCTTAAACATGGAATCCTCTATCAGTCTTCTTGTGTTTACACTCAGCAAAATGGAGTTGTTGAACGAAAGAATAGACATCTCATTGATATTACTCGGACCTTGCTATTCCATCGTCACGTTCCCAAAGAATTTTAGGGGGAAGCTATCTTAACAGCATGTTACTTGATTAATCGAATGTCCTCTTCTGTTCTGCAAGATAAAATTTCTTTTAAAGTTCTATACCTAACGGTGATCTCTTTCTGCTTCCTCTAAAGATTTTTGGCTCTCTGTGTTTTGTTCATAATCACAGTCCAAATAAACAAAAGTTTGACTCAGTCTATTAAAGGTATTTTCTTGGCTACTCCCGAAAGCATAAAGGTTATAAGTATTTCTGTCCATCACTCAATCGTCTTATGTTATCTGCTGATGTAACATTCTTTAAAGATAAACTTGATCATTCTAGTTCTCCATCTTCATTATCACCGGATGAGTATGACTATTTAATCCTGCAATAGTCATTGGTTAATGGTGGTGGTTCATCCGCTGATAATACTATTTGCGCTACTGGCAAAGACTCAGTTCGGTTTAATGCCCAATTCAAGTTTATCGTCGTCGCTTTGCTCCTGCTCATGTGCCAACGTCGGTCTCAACACCACGTCCTCCGCTCGAAGAACCTGAATCAGTAAATGCAAATTTACCCTCTTCTGCGGAAGACCTTCCTATTGTACTTCGGAAAGTGACACGAACTTGTACTCAACATCCTATTTCTAACTTTATCTCCTATGATCGTCTCTCCTCTACCTTTCGATCTTTTGTTACTTCTCTCGACTCATATTTGACTCCTAAGAATGTGTCAGAAGTCCTGTCTATTCTAGATTGAACTAAGCGATGCAGGACGAAATGAGGGCTTTGTAGCAGAATGAGACTTGGGATTTGATCTCACTTCCACCAGGAAAGCCCGACTGGTTGCTAAAGGCTATTCACAGGTGTATGACTTGAATTACATAGATACCTTCTCTCCGGTGGTAAAAATGATATCTGTTCAGATTTTTGTTTCGTTAGTAGCGACAAATCACTAGCCACTTCATCAGTTGGACATCAAGAATATATTCTTTAATGGTATTCTATATGAGGAGGTTTACATGGAGCAACCGCCAGGTATTATTGCTCAGGAGGAGAATGCGAATGTGTGTAGGCTGAAGAAATCACTCTATGATCAGAAACAGTCTCCGAGAGCATGGTTTGGACGTTTTGCATCGGTTATTCAAGAATTTGGACTTTATCGTGCACAGAAAGATCACTCTGTCTTCTGGCGATTTCATAATGGGAAAAGAATTCTGCTAGTTGTCTATGTGGATGAGATTGTAATTATAGGGGATGATGCTTCTGGTATTGACAGCCTGAAGAAGCATTTACAGACACATTTCCAAACTAAAGATCTTGGTTCCCTAAAATACTTCCTAGGCATTGAAGTTGTAAAGTCAACGAAGAATATTCTTCTATCACAAAAGAAGTATGTCCTGGATATCTTCTCAGAAGCTGGGATGTTAGGATGTAGAAGCAATGATTCTCTAATAGATGTGAACTCAAAACTATTACCAGACCAAGGGGAGCTTTTTGAGGATGTTGGACAGTATAGGAGATTGGTGGGGAACTGAATTATCTGACGGTGACCAGACCTGACATCACATTCGCAGTTAGTGTTGTGAGTCAGTTCTTGTCCGCACCAATAACTACTCACTTGGATGCAGTAATGAAAATTTTGAGGTTCTTGAAGAAGGCTCCAAGATGAGAAATTCTCTACTCAAATCAAGGACACACCAGAATTGCAGGCTTTTCTCATGCAGATTGGGCTGAATGTCCTTTTGATAGGAGATCAACTAATGAATATTGTCTTTCTCGGAGGA